TTAATTACGAATCTGGACCCGCTTAAAGCCATCAATTTTGAACTGATTAGTCGATAGATTTGAAAGACTAATGAATGTATGCACTATTATGAAATGTCATTATATTATCAATAAATGATGTTTAAAAAATGTAATACAAATCAGTAATAGATATAGGCTAACTATATATAAATCTTTATAATAAAACCAAGTGGATATTACACTTAAGTTCAAATAACCAAAAATCTAGTGAGTTATTTTGATTATGACTCGGAGCTTAGATAGCCCATAAATAAAAATAGGGGAAAGATCTACATCTTAACCATCCAATCTTAGAAAATCTAATAGTTTAACCATTGGAGTAAGTGAATCCATCCTCATAAAAATAAGACGAGCTTTCTTAAATAAATAATAATAAGAGGCGACTATTAACTATCTCAAATAGTATTCATATTCTCTTTAATTCATGTACCCAAGAAATATTCTCTTTAGTTCAATCACATTTTAAATTAAAAAGAAAAGAATGTCATTAATTTAATGAAGAATGTGATTAGACATGTTAGAGTGTTAATAGCTTCAGAAAAACAAACATCAAATTTTAAAATCATTCAATCCATAAAAACTAAAAAAGAAAAAATATATATAGTCACATAAAATTCATAAAGTTTTTAAATAAAATTCCAAATATGTCTACCTTTACATCTATAATTGAAATATTAAAATCATTCAATCCAAAAGTAGCAAACCAAACAAAATAAAAATCAAAACTAACAATTTTTTACTTTACAAGTATAACTAACTACAAATCTTCTATACTCCCTAATCTATATAATATCTTCCTGGTTGGTACACTAGATATCTGTTAAATTATGAATACGGATCTGCTATTCCAAACCATGTCCTACATAAATAATGTTGAAGTAAAACAGAAAATTAATGAATACTTAATATGTTATATTTTCTGGAATATGGTTTGGAACAACAATTCTTCTTCTGCTTAAGTTAATATGATGAGAGAAGATAAAAGAATGAAAGTTAGAGAGTACAACCGCAACAGAGGAAAAAGTAGCAAAGCATAGAGAGCAAGAGAAAGGATTCAAGAAAAGTGAGACAAGCCCATAACAAATCATCGACCAACCACAAACTCAACCATTGAAGGTTCCAACTTGTGTTCCAATAAGACATGTCCAACGCCGGCAACCTCAATATCGATCTCCACGGCCATAGATTCAGTTCCGGCCACCGCAAGTTCAACATGATAGAATTCTCTTGTGACGGAGGGAGGGGATTTATTTTTGGTTTGTATATTTTTATAGATGATGTTATTATTATATGGCGTGTAATTTTGTGATACTAACACTAACACGTGTTTTTCAGATAAGTATACCATTACCATCAATTATTCTTTCAATCATTACGTAACATGTGTATCTTATAAGCCATTATTATTGACATTTATTATTACTATTACAATACCATGTCTATCAAATATATAATTTGGAAAATGATATATCATCTTACTAATCCTCCTACCTACAAGAAAGTGATATATGTACAAAATAATAAATTGTGGGAGTAAACGTTATCAAACCAAAATGGAGGGACTAAAGTCATACGATTAGAAGAGTTGATGGACCCAAAATACAATTAAGCTTATACTATAAAGTAAACAATATTAATAAATATACTAGAGATTTAGGTGAAATAGTTATTTTAGTTGTTAAACCTAATTGCACTTAAGATGACCTAGCATAATTTAAACTCATACAGAAAAATTTAAATTTCTTCTTCTGTGACATTACTCACCAAACTCGAAGTATATTTTCACTCCACAAAGTAGGTGACAATTGAAATTATTCTCCTACATTTAAATGTACTCTCATGAGGACTATCACTAAAGAAAAAAAAATTGAGTGTCTTAAAATTGGGTTGTGAATTCCCCCCATAATCCTAACAGTACAAGGCCCAATAGATAGGTCCTGCACATGGTCGACATCATTGAGCCCAAACCAATTGTCTAACTCCAAGAAAACTAATATTCTATTTGTAATAAAAAAAATAGAAAAGTTCACAAAACTCCCTAAACTTTGTGTTTTGTAAGTAGACACTATGTGAAATTTGAATTAAGATAATGTAAGGATAAAAAGGGTAATAACATGAGTTCAATACCCAAAACAAATAAAAAATCAAAATATAAAATGGTTTGGATTTTAATAATTTTTTAAAACTTTATGCAGTATATATGTAATTTTAAAAATCAAATTTAAATAAAATGGAAAAATTTCAAAATCTGAAATAGAAGCTGAACCGAAGATTCTGGAGAAAAAACCCTAACAAAAATAGGTTTAAGCGAGCGCCGCAAGGGGCAATCACATTATCCACACCGAAATACAAAAATCGGTTAGGACAACGGTCCGATGAAACGCCACGTCATCAATCCGCGTGAATTGTTGTTTCAACGGCGAAGATCAATGTTGCAGTGAAACGAAGGAAGAATCTAGTATCTTCTTCTGCATTCTCATTCTTTCCATTCTCTTCTCTCAGAATTCGAAGATGAAGACCTTTGAAGAATTGAATGAACAAATGGAAGAGCACGAGTTCGTCGTTTTGAAACAGGAGGATGAGGAAGATGAATTTCAACAAGACGGAGAAGATGATGTTATTGATGATGATGATGATGATGATGATGTTGAAGATGAGGAAGATAGCGATGGTGACGATGATGATGAAGATGAGGTTGAGGATGACGGTGAAGATGACGATGATGAAGAAGAGCAAGGCGCTGGATCTGGCGGCGAGCGTGGCGGCGATCCTGATGATGACGACGGCGACGATGTTGATGATGACGATGATGATGAGGAGGAAGAGGAGGGCGACGACGAGGTAACTAACCTAAGATTTTCTCTTTTAAATGATTAATTTGTAGAAATTGTTTGAAATTTCTATTTGATTTCGTGTTTGCTAATGAGTATTAACGTTTATGTTCATAGCTAGGTTTTCTTTGTGTTAGAATGTTTGTTTAATCGTTTATGATTAGTGGAATTTGATTATGATTTTTTCCTTTTCACTGTAACCAGTGTTGACTCGGTAGGCTTTATAATTTATGTTTAAGATTTTTGCATCGGTACAGACAAAAAACAGAGGTTTGTAGCTGAATTCATCCAAAGAATCCTTTTGCACTTTTTTATCTAATTAATTTTCAATTTTATCTGTGAGAAATTTGAATAATTGCGGAATCTATACTATTTATATGTATATATCTAGTTATTTTACCAAATCCTAGCTGATTCTAAGTTTCAAGCTTCAACCATCTGATTTTTTTGTTGTAAATTTCTTAGTTTGAATTACTTAAATCTTCAGAATATTTTTTTTGAACAAGAATTTTGAGCAATTTTATTCATGCCTTTGATGTGGATTTGAGAATCAGTGAAATATGAGGTTTTAGTTTCTAGAGGGAACATGTCTGCTTTGCTTAATTGCTCCTAATTTATGTTTGTGGGGTGCATATTCAATAGCTAGGTTGAAAATTAAGAGATCTCTCATAAATGTTAGTTATGCACATCTTTTGTGTTGCTGAACTGTTTTGAGTATAACTATGTATAGTTATCTGTTTTCCTCTATTTAGTTTAACTGACATGAAAAACCATTCAGGATGATTTGGGAACAGAGTACCTTGTCCGTCCCTTAGGCACTGCCGAGGAGGAGGAAGCATCTAGTGATTTTGAACCTGAGGAGAATGGTGAGGAGGAAGACGAAGACGACGATGATGGTGAAAAAGCTGATGTTCCATCATCAAAGAGGAAGAGGTTGGGTAAAGATGATTCTGATGACGACAATGATGATGACGATGGAGGAGAAGATGAAGATGGCGAGAGACACTCTAAGCGATAGAGTTGAGTCCATTCTCCTTAACAATTCAACCATGGCTCAATGTTTCACAATCTATCCTTTGCACACATGAAGAAAAGATAAGATGGTTCATGGAATTGTTTTCAGCTGTTTTATGTATTATCTATTATGGAGCAGTTAGGGTTACTTGTTTCATTTGGTCAGTTCATAGTCAATGTGGGTTGTGCAGAACTCTTCTGAAGATATGTTTAGAACAAATTTTGCAGACTTTAAATTTGTATTGTATTGTATTCTTGGTCATTTCTTCTAGGTTGGTAGATTTTGTTCTTGTGCTCTACAATTTCTGCTACCCTGAAATATCTTCTGCATTTACATCAAATCTGTTTATAACTTTATATTATTACATGTTTTCTGGTAGTTTCTTGTGATATTTCTGAAACACCCAAAAGTGAAATTTCAATTTATCTTACTTTATGTTCTTGTACATGACCTAAATGTCCTAATTGCTTTGCTGAATTTTAATAAGAGGACTAATTGATTGGGAGTTGGAGGGTTAATCTTTTGCTCATTCGTAGTTAACAACAAATAGAATGAAATCATATGGTCAATGTTATCGGTATAAATAGTACTTGGAAATGACAATAATATATTTTCTCAAACTAACCCGATCTTTTAACAGTTTTAACTTTAAATTGTGAAAGAATATATTGAAAATATACATTTTGAAATTAGAATGAAGTTTGTTAGGTAAAGTAGTTATAAAATATAATAACAAAATAACACATAACTGAAAATAAGATACGAAAATAAATTAAAGTGGTTAAGTCATATATAGTAGGATATAATGTAATCCTATCATGCAAACATGGTGTAGATTACAAAGAAAAGTTTGTTTGTTTTTTTGCCAAATTTCTAGTATTCAGCCGCTCCCAAGCAGTTGGCATGGAATATGATCTATAAAGGAAGAGTTTTGTTGATGTTTTGCACAACATAGTGAAAAGGAGACCTCAAGAATGAAAGCTTTCAATGAGTAAGGACTGCAAAAGTCTCTTTAATGCGATTCAAAATTGACATACTCTGACTTGAGTACATGGAAGATCAATGGAAATTCCATCAAATTTGAGTCGTATTAAAGGGGCTTTCGCACTCTTAACTCGGTGATAGCATGAAGACATATATGAAGATCAAACAATGTTCACTTGTAAGACATGTTATTTTTGTTTTGTAATCATGAAAATAAAGGAACCTTGCCATATTAAAGAACATTCACTTTTGAGATTAAAAATTCTTGAATGTCAAAGAAGAGGAGCAGATTAGGCATGCCAAGTTTTTTTGTCAGGTACAAACTCAAACTCTCGTGCTTATTGTTTTAAAGCTTTACCAGCTAAACTGATTCTTGAATACGAAGTTTGTCAAGAATAACTCATTGATAACTATGTTTTAAGACTTAAACAACAATGCTGCTTATTTTAATGAATGAAATTTCACTTCAAAAAGGAGAGCTGGGATTAGAAGAACGGGAAAGTTTTCATGTATCAAGAATTTATTAGCTTCCTTACAAATTTGGGTGTACATTTCCATATTAGCTCCCTTACAAATTTGGTTAATATTACTGTATTAAACCCTTCATTCTATTGATAATAATACTTTTCACAATATTTTTTAGAATAAATACCTATTCTAGTCTCTCAAAATTTTTGTATGTACCAATTTGGTTCCTGCAAATTTAAAACCCCCAAAATATTTCCAAAAAAATATCAAATGTGGATCAAACTAATCTCTTTTGATATTTTTATGACCTATAATAGAAACCATTTTGACTCAATATCTGAATAATAGTTTGAATTTTTATTTTTTCGATAATCAAATTGTTCCATTTGAATTCTTTTTTTACTGAGTATTGATTGTATTTTTTAGGACTGTGTGGGTAATTGTGCCCTTTAGACAAAATAATGAAGTTGAATAGGTTTAGAAGTAGTAACTTTCTAGGAGAGATCACATAACATAAAAATGCCAACTATGCGTTCTAGATAGCATCTATCTTTGGTGCTGATTAATGATTCTGTCTTGATAAATGACAGTGATGGCATCTCTTTTTGCCACTCATTTCTTTTGTTCCAGAGAAGGGTTTAATTAAGAGAATATTATCTAGAAGGTTCTTACATTTGGCATCTTCCAAGAAAGTAGGGAACAGAACATAAGACTAGCATTGGCAACACAAGGCAGGTGAATAAGGACACCCGTGACACACTGACCCAAAGCCAATTTAACCTTAAACAATGTGTAGGCTAATCCAAATCAGCCCATGGTTACAAAAAAGCAAAACAGCAAACCTGTGACAATTTTTTAATATGACCTGTGACAATTTTTAATATGACTTCTGCCAATGAATTTTTCCTTGGCTAGGTTATGATGAAGACATTGACATCAAGAAAAGAAGAAGGTGAGAAGTGTTTGTGAACCATAGGTTTTGATAAGTGTTTTTGAACCATAGGTTTTGATAAGTGTTTGTGTAATAAGAAAGTGATGTACTTTTCTTGTGGGAAATTGAATTTTCTAGAAGGGAGTCCTGGTATGATGTCCGTAAATAAACTCAATTGTATAGTGAAAATCCCTTAAATCAGAAAAGGGGACTGGATATAACCTTCATTAGAAGAAGGTGAACTAGTATACATCTTTGTGTGAATCTCTCTACTCTTATCTCTTTTAAATTTCTGCAACTGTTATTCAAGTTTCTGTTGAAAATTTTGAGTTATCGTTTAAAAATGTGAACCCAATGCTTACAATATGAAAGGACAACAAAATGAACACCACTTAAAAATTGTACATAAAAGCCTAAAAAGAATTAGAATGCAGTGACAGTGACATTTTAAGGGGTCCAATTATTTTCCCATTTTCAATTGATAAAAACAATTTTCCAATTTTTAACACACCCAACAGTAAAAACTAACCTTAAATAGCAGCTAAGAGCCTTTGTCATTTTCATTCCCCTATCTTCCATTTCCACATACAAGAGAAAATGGTGAGGAGTTCAGCATGTGTACCTTATTTTGCACTTCACATTATTCTTCTGGCTTCTATGACCAATGCTGAGAATGGGGACTTGGTAGAACAAATATGCAGAAAGACACCCTTTTATGACATTTGCAACTCCACCCTACACTCAAACCCTCTAAACCCAAAATCTGATCTCAAGAGTGTGGCACTGATAATGGTGAATAACATTCTGGCAAATGCAACTGACACACTGAGTTACATTGAGAGGTTGATCAAGCAGAGCTCAGGCCATGGGTTGGAGAAAGCCTTGGCTTTCTGTGCAGAGTCATACATCCCAATTGTGAAATACACTCTCCCACAAGCACTTGATGCCATTAACCAAGACCGTTTTGGGTTTGCAAGTTACTGCATATCTGATGCTGTGAAGGAAGTAAGTACCTGCGAATCAAAATTCTCAGGCTCAACTCCATCACCCTTAGCTGATAGAAATGGCTTTGTGCTAAAGCTGATTGATGTGGCTTCGGCCATAATCAAACTAATACTGAAAGGCTGATTTATTCACCCATCTTCTGTCACATTGATAGTAGCAGTTAGTAATAGTAGTCGTATAAGTTTGTACACACCATGATCATATGTACTTCAAAGCAGATATTTATATAAACCATACTCTCTGGTATATCTATTATGAGTCTACTTCACCACTTTCTTGTAACATAGTCAAATAAAGTAAGAAGTGTTCTGTTACTCTGTTAGTCAAAGATTTCTTCGAACCATCTATTATCAATAGCATCTATCTGTACTTGCAAGCTAAAATACTGACAATGTAAACCAGAGAGGTTTTTTTATTATAGAAAAGTGTAAAGTTAAGTAAAATTAAGTACTAATTGGAATGATAAAATAAAATTGGCAACATTACTATCTATATCAAAAAGCAAACTTCAAGAACAACCTACTAGCTGTCAATTTGACAGCCATCGAGAAGAGAAGTCATTGTGGGTCCTTCCCACTTGAAATAATACAGAATAGATAATCTACTGGAAGAAAAGGTTACAAAGTTTAAAGATGGGAATAACATGATGGAAGCTATCAAGTGACTCAAGAGTGTAACTGCTTCTGTCAAGCCAAGCATCAATAGCAGCAACAGAGGCCAAAACTGCCTATCTTGATACATTAGCACACTCCCTCCATCAGATGATTAGAATATATGAACAATGTCATATGCAAAGCTATATTTTGTCAAAGAAGCACAAGTGATAGCAAGAGTTTCAGTACAAGAGATATATAGAGGAAGTAAATTCTGTTAGGTTGTGTTTTTGTTAGATGCCACTACAAGTGTTCAGACCACCAATAGCACATGTCCAATGGGCATGGCAATGGCTGCTCATGAGCATCAGAAAATTCCCGCCAGTCTATTCAGAATTCTTGCAAGTACTTAATTTTACTACTTCAATTTAGGAAATTTACCCAAATCCCTACCCGCCCCAAAATAATTTTCATATTTGTGAACTATGTTCTGGTGAAATTTTGAAAAACATACTCTATTACTCTTGGTGCTATACATACAAGTACTACATTTTAACAGATTTCATGGTGTTGAATTGAAATAAATTTAATTTGCAGTTATACTCCAACGAGTACTTCACAAGAGAAGGATACGTCCAGAAAAGCACAAATGACTGCAGAAGTTTAAAAAAAGAAAGTTAAAATATGGAAAACATGCACATACAAAAATGACAAAATATACATATAGAGAGAACACAAGCAGCCATATAGATATTATGAACTATGATCTAGATATAATGTACTTTGAACTGGCAGCCTAAGATCAGTAAGACAATTAAATAAACCTCTTGTTCTGGAAACTATACAAACCTTCCATTTAAAATCTCAATAGAACATAAAAGCTCTACCCAATGTAATTTCATCAGATGCCCATAAAAAAGCTCTCGTTGGTAAAATGCTTGTGCATGTTAGCCCCTCTCTCCTCTTCAATATATTGTGTGAAATTAGTTATAAAAATGTAAATTTTTTTTCTAAAAAGTATATTACCAAAAACATTTTCCACATATATATGTAATTTCATATATTTGACCCTTCGTTCTGGTGTTTTCTGGATTGTTCAGCTAGTGGCAGTGGTGAATAAGCAAGGAATTTAGCAAACATTACATAGTTAATGTGGCCTTCATTGCTTTTCCTGGCTTTCGTAATTTTTGTATTTAGGTTGTATATGGTGCTCTCTGCTCATAGAGGCTTTCTTGGTTAGACGTGCCGAATCTTGGATTCTAGGTTTTTGTTTAGTATATTTGCGTGTGCTTATCCTCTTTCTTTGCATTTATCACCTATTTTTTGTACATCTCTACATTCCTTATCCAAACTAAATTCATTTTTCACAAAAAATATTCTCATACACAAATCATTCCCAAAGAAAGATGATTTGAAAATAAAAAAACATACCATTAGACCACTCAGAAAGCCGTCGAGCAGCACCCGATTCCAGGAGTCAAAGTAAGTGTGGATTGAAAATTTTGCTTTGGCTACAAGGCCAATTGAAGTAACTGCCATGAGAAGGAAATAAAACACAAATCCTTTCAAGCCTGTAAACCCCAAAATTCCAGCAACAACTCCACCAATTATAGACAAAAATGTCCGGCTGCAAGAGACAGAAAAATTTCAATAGTAAACCTTAGGCATCATTAAACAGTTGTTTCATTTCTATATCTCATGCACTCCTGCAATCAGGTAACTGTTTCACACAGATTGAATAATAAAATGTCATAAAATACTAAAATCACCACTCCAAATGAAAAGAAAGAAAGGAAGAAAAAAATCCCTGGTGTTCGGTGGTCCACCTTAAATATAATATTTCTAGCTATATGTATGCCAACAAAGTATATATATATGCAGTAAAACCAAACCTGTAATATATAATTTTCATGTTGCTTTGCATATTCTCAACATTTAAAGTCAGAAACTCATTGAGTCCGTTGCTCGATTTCTTCTCTGATGAACTTGACTCAGAATGTCCATCCATAATATCTGCCTTGTCTAATTTGGTGATATGCTTCTGTAGAGGGAGATCAAAATGGATGATTTTGGTTAGAAATAAAAAATAAATCATGCTGTTGAAATTTTAAAAAACATAAATATAAATATCCAGAACAATTTGCTGAGGTTAATAGCAGGTAATTTGAAATAAACAGACATGACCTCCAAAATGATAACTGACACATACAAAATGAACTTAATTAAAATAAAACTACTGGAACACAAAGACTTCCAAAATAAATCTAGAACAACTTCCAAAATTCTCAAACTCTTGCCTCAAATTCTGCATACCTAGAAGCTACCCATTCCCACCACAACATTCTTAATTAGTACAGAAATTTGATTGTAATATGAATTTATAAACTACAGAACAAAACAGAGATCTAATACATGAAAATAAATAAATACAAAAAAAACAATTTTCATTTAAGCACAACTAGGATTCGGTATTTGAGACTGTAAAGTTAAGCTAAACTTGTATTTCAACTCTAAAACATCGAAAACTCAATTCCAACATTCTATCACATTCACTCTACCTTTTCAAATAAACTTTAACACTTAAAATTCAACACGATGCAAGAACAGAAACCTAATCAAAATCACCAAAGTCAATAGTTGACTAGAAATTAATAATTTAATTCAACACAAAAATAGGAAATAGCCGAATTAGTTGCTTGAATCGAATCTGAATCGAATAAAAAACTAAGAATTCAACCGTCGTGTGCATGATATACAGAATTAGATTAGATAGTTGAATGAAAGAAAGTGTTGGACATGAAATCATTGTAAAACTAATCGGATCAGATCGAAGAGTATATAAATAAGGGAATATCACAATTGATAATGGAATCGCAAAGAGAATGTGGATTCAAAAAAGATGCTACCTCTTCAAGATTGAGATTGTTGATGCAGTTATGGACTCACTCACACCTTTCACGCTCTTCTTCGTTTATGCTTATATATATATATCATTATTTATTTATTTGAGCTTTTCAGAAGCTTAAGTAAATATTTTATTGATAAATAGTTTATATTATGTTCCTTTGCAAAGAAAAAACAAGTCATTTCAATATGTTTATTAGGAATACGGATCTCTGCTGTACTGGAGGGTCCAGTACAATGACGACACGTGACACTTAAAATTTTTTAACGGTATAGATTTGAAGTTATTTTTAATTAAAATATTTTTTTTAACATTTCAAGCAATCTGGACCATCCAGTACTGGAGAGAATCCCAACTCGTTTATTAGAGTAGTTTTTAATGGTTAGAAAAAAAAATTATTCAAAAGTATAATAACTCTCACTGGAAAGCATAGACATGTTTAAAAAAAAATTAATTTTTTAATAATAAAGGTGCATGTATATGATAAAAATTATGCAACATGTATTTTATGATTTAGGCATCTAAAAATTTCA